AAAATGTAGATAACATAACATTTAGAAAAACTAAAACACAGCTAGAACAATAAAAATAAATTAACTACGTATAAAATTCATTTTACTGTACAGACTTACACAAATATTTGTCTCTTTACACATACATATCGTCGATGTTTTTGCAAAACCGCTCATCGACCAGTTGCAATACCGCCTAAATTGCCGTTGTGGCAAAAATGAGATTTGGTAATCCTGAGCTCCGGGCATCGAGATTTATGCATAAAAATCATTAAATCGTTATTAAAATAATAGCTAAAGAAAATACCGCCTAATAAGGCAACGCCTTCAAAGAATAAACTGTTTTCGCTCTCCTGTAAAATTTGAGTGTCGTAAGATAGGCGGTTTTGCAATTGGGCGATGGGCGGTTTTGCAAAAATATCGACGATATTATTATTATTACGTCTGGGATACACGCGCTGCGACCTTAGAATATCTATTGTTCTTAACCCTAATTGTAATCATTTCAACCTTATTTGGAAGGCGCCATGTTTAAATAAAATTTTGGATGAACACAATCCTTCCCCAAAGTGTATCAGTCTGATACACGTATTTATGATACGTGGGCAGTCACATAGAATATGCTCTGGAGTTTCCTCCACCAGCACGCTTTGCGAGACAGTCAGCTTTCGTTGCCTTTAAACCCTTCATGTCCCGGAACCCCACATAGCGTTACGTTATTGTTGGCTTCCAAGTGGTTCAAAAGAGTTTTACAGCTGTCCACAAGCCTGATGCCCTTTTAAAAGAGACTGAGGCCTTTAACCTGCCTGAATATCCGACATAATATTTAATTTGGCTTCATTTGTCCTTCTACACAGACCACGATTCCGAAGACTTTCGTCTGGAATATAGTTGGGTACNTGCGCGCTTTCACTCATCAGCACCTGCGTTCAAGCCCTGGTTAAAGCAACATCGCAAAAAAATAGAAAAAGGTTTTTTAACCGACTTCCAAAAAAAGGAGGAGGTTATCAGTTCGTCGGAAGAATTTGTTTTTTTTATGTATGTTACCGCATAACTTTGGAGCACGTCAACCGAAAAGGTAGTGTCTCAGAGGTGGTCCCATACTAATCTGGTTAAGATCCGATCAGTGGGTCATGAGATATATATATATATATATATATGTATATATATATATTTTTTTTTTATATGAGAGTCGAAGTCGGTTTTGTTTTTTGCTAAAAATTACTTCTTCTTAACAGCGGTCGTCCCTCGGCAGGCAATGGCAAACTTCCGAGCATATTTCTGCCATGCTTCTCACAAAAATACAATCGCCATTCGGAGTCGGCGTAAAACTGTAGGTCCCTCCGCTTTGTGTGACAACCTGTGTTGCCACAGACAATTTTTTTTTCCTACCAAAATCAACCAATACCTACCAAGATTTTATTTAAGTTTTTAATATTTTTTTAATGACAAGTTTATTAAAAATGTAGATAACATAACATTTAGAAAAACTAAAACACAGCTAGAACAATAAAAATAAATTAACTACGTATAAAATTCATTTTACTGTACAGACTTACACAAATATTTGTCTCTTTACACATACATATCGTCGATGTTTTTGCAAAACCGCTCATCGACCAGTTGCAATACCGCCTAAATTGCCGTTGTGGCAAAAATGAGATTTGGTAATCCTGAGCTCCGGGCATCGAGATTTATGCATAAAAATCATTAAATCGTTATTAAAATAATAGCTAAAGAAAATACCGCCTAATAAGGCAACGCCTTCAAAGAATAAACTGTTTTCGCTCTCCTGTAAAATTTGAGTGTCGTAAGATAGGCGGTTTTGCAATTGGGCGATGGGCGGTTTTGCAAAAATATCGACGATATTATTATTATTACGTCTGGGATACACGCGCTGCGACCTTAGAATATCTATTGTTCTTAACCCTAATTGTAATCATTTCAACCTTATTTGGAAGGCGCCATGTTTAAATAAAATTTTGGATGAACACAATCCTTCCCCAAAGTGTATCAGTCTGATACACGTATTTATGATACGTGGGCAGTCACATAGAATATGCTCTGGAGTTTCCTCCACCAGCACGCTTTGCGAGACAGTCAGCTTTCGTTGCCTTTAAACCCTTCATGTCCCGGAACCCCACATAGCGTTACGTTATTGTTGGCTTCCAAGTGGTTCAAAAGAGTTTTACAGCTGTCCACAAGCCTGATGCCCTTTTAAAAGAGACTGAGGCCTTTAACCTGCCTGAATATCCGACATAATATTTAATTTGGCTTCATTTGTCCTTCTACACAGACCACGATTCCGAAGACTTTCGTCTGGAATATAGTTGGGTACGTGTAAATTGGCAGACTTTCCGGAATTTTGGTCTAAATACGCCTGCCCCAGTACTCTCGTCATTCATCTTTGATCCGTCAGTATACCATACTTGGGCCTTTCGTCAATAGTTATTATCACTTTAGAACAGTCCCTTTCAGGAATTCTGACCTTGTAGTGTTTATAGAAAGACAACTCGGGATTATCCAGTGATGGCTTAGGAACCTCCAATTTGACCCCGAAGATCCCAAATTTTCTTGCTGATCATATTAGACAGTCGTAGGGCGCTCCTGTAGGCCTCTTTCAAATAACATAGACAAAGGAAAAACGCCTGTAATGACACCAAGGTCATCCGTTGGACATCCTGTAATGGCCACGCGGACCAGTCGGTGCACCTTGCTAAAGGTGAAAGCCTCCTTTACTTACGTAGCTTTTTGTCACCAGGCCAGTGCCGCATATGTGACAACGGGTCTTACTACCATATTCAAAGATCAATAGGTTAGTTTTGGTGGTATTCCTCAAGTCTTACAATAAAGTCTCTGTTAGGTGGACAGTGTGGGACTTCACCTTTTACGCAAATAACTATTATTGTCCAATCTATCCTACCAACCTACCAAAGTAGGTAGTGGTAGTAAAAGTAAATGTTTGGCAATACTGGTGACAACATCAAGGCGCACACCACAAGTCGAAGCAGAAGCTCAGCCGAACACTAACATGGGTATTTCCATACGTCGTATACATGACAGTCGTACGTTTCAATGTGATACAAACAAGGAATACCATTTGTTTTCTTTAACTTTTTTCGACCATTGTATAGCACATAATTAGCTCTATATTTAACCGAAAAATGAAAACAATCGAACTGCTTGGTCCTGAAATATAAGCATTTAAAGAGAGTGTCGTTACGTGACATAAATGAAAGTAGATTTTTTCTTTTCTTACAAAATCGCAAAACTCTGCGAATTGTGGATGGCTATTTTCATGAAACTTATTTTATTATGATTTTGAGCAATTCTAGTTGTTTTTAGAGTTTTTTGGATTAATGCAACTTGTTTCAATTTTCTTTTACAACCCCAAGTGTGAAACGTAACGTGACGTAAAATCGGACTAAAATTATGGCATTTTATATAACGGTAAATTTTAGAAATGCTTGAAATTTTAATATTTCGAAATTTAAGGACGCTAATTTACTCAAAATTAATACACAATATTTGCACCGGGTATTTAATGTTCGGCTTCGCCCGAACTTAGACTTTCTTACTTATTTATATTAACTATTTTTATTTTTATTTTTTATTACAGTAGCTTTGTACTTTATTTTGAATCAATTAATATGAGTTATAATGAATTTATTAATCGCGCAGTCCTATTGCAAAACGTATTAATACAAATACGTTTTAAAACTATATGTACGTAAAATTGTGTTACACTCTAAACAATTTTTGTTTAAATTTGCGCATATTNTCTTTGTAAATTTTATGTAAATAAAATGCAATTGATGATACTTTAAAAAGTTTATATATTTATTTCATACTGTAAATAAAACTTTCATAAATGTATTTTAAAGAGCGAATTTTCAGTATTTGCTGATGATATATATTTAGAAGTATAAACCCTTTCCCCCAAAAAATATACTCCGGCGTGCGCCCCTGTCACTTAGCATTTATTATTTGTAAAAAATATATTTTTACTTTCAAAATGTTTGTAATTTTAAACATTTCATGTGTATATTTTAAACAACTCATGTTCAAAATCAAATCTTGAACATCTTGTGCGTATACTTGAACAGGTTCTGGTTGAAAAATAAACACTTTTCAGTAGTAGTTTTACATGCACTTTTTAGAGTGTAAGTTATTTGTGTAATCTGTTATTACCCTACCTTTCTACCTATTCCTTTTCGGTTTTACAAACTATTCTATAACAAGATGTCATTGCTAAAATAAAAAAGCCGTGAGTAATAGGTACTCATGAAATTTGATGTGTAAACATATGCGAACGCAAAGCATTAGTCTGTTCCAATAGCAGTCCGGTTTACAGGATTTAGTCAGAACTTACAGGAAGTGGTTCCTATTGACATAAAACCTGTAAGTGGGAACACTTTTGAGAGAGTAACTGAGCAACTGTTCCTAGTCAGAAGTTACAGGATTTAGTCCGGAGTTTTTTTTCCTGTAAGTTCATGAAAATTGTCAAACGATCAGCTGATTTACATGTGCAAACAAAAACAGAAAGCGGTGAAAGCAAATAACCTTATATTTGTAAAAAAAATGGAAGTAAACAACGAAATATTTGAATATGTATAGATTTTAATAATTAGTTAGTGATATTTCAGCTAAATCAGTGTTGTACAAATGACATGTAAACAAACCGACGGACGTTTTTACAGGAAATAGTGCTTTTTGCGTTCCCGTGCACTTCTGGGTCTGTTCTCCTTTTACTCTCACTTGAGAGAGTAAAATTGTAGTTTGACAGTTCCACAGGTTTTAGTCGATTACGATACGATTTTACTCTCTCTAGTGAGAGTAACAGGAGAACAGATGCAGAAGTGTACGGGAACGCAAAAAGCACTTTTTCCAGCAAAAACGTAATTTGGTTTGTTTACTTGTCATTAGTACAAGACTGATTTGGCTAAAAGATCACTAAATAACTATTAAAATCTATATAATTAATAATAATTGCATACATATTCGAATATTTCATTATTAACTTCCATTTTTTAACAAATGTAAGGTTACTTGCTTTCACCGCGTTCTGTTTTTGTACACAAATGCAACTCTACCTATCGTTTGACACTTTTCATGAATTTGCCAGAAGAAAAACTCCGGACTAAATCTTGAAACTTCATTCTGGGAACAGTTGCTCAGTTACTCTCACGAGAGTGTTCCCAGATACAGAATTTTTGGCGTACGGCAACGACTTTGGGCTAAATTCGTCAAAACCTGCAAATCGTAGCCGTGCTGGAACGCTCTAATAATCCCAATCAAAGCTCGTTAGCTGTCAAATTGGTTGTGCTTGTTATTCACACAACTCGAGGAAAAGTTAAACTTCTTCTCTGTGCCACCGTGGTCACTTTTTTCTGCAACACATATTACGCCATTTAAATATATTTTATCTGAATATTTTATTAAAAATACCTTTACAAACCTATTTTCCTTACTAGCGTCACTTTTTGTTTACTTTAACATTTGACATTCCTCCTTTTCTTCGCAAGTGTAATCAATAAAACTAGGTAGGACACCAAAAAGTTATCGGTTTAATCTGAAATATTTTTAATTATAATTTTGCATGGCTAATCTCCTTTTCTAATAACAGACTAGGGAGTTAAGCTCGAAAATTAGGATAGTCTTTTTATATGTAAAGCTATTATTAGGCGATTCAGTTACATACATACAAATGTAGGTTAGGTTAGAAATTAAACATTAATTTCACTTAATTTTATTCATTTTGCTGGTTTAATTTTTTTATTCATTTTCATTTTTCATTCTTGTAATACATGAAATTGTCGGTATTTTATTAAATACTTCTATATACTTGTGACTCAAGGGCGTTAAAATATCTTGGGAACACCGCATCAGTTATTGTTTTTGAGCTTATAGTTTGAGAATTTCTATTTGTATATGTTCCTAAATTTAGTATTTCTTTTCGGAATATAATCTGTGGTTCATGTAAATGCAGTTCATGTTGCAGGATTTTACCCGATGCTTTTTGTTCCATACGTTTTGCTGTTACTCACTTTTTACGCTCTCTTCAGAGAGTGATTTTGCTGTTTGGCCTTTTTCCAGAATTTTACACGAAAAGTATTGGATTAGAGCTATTCTATCATCCATACATATACATATTATACATACATATATTCATGTATGTTCATCAGTTATCAACGGCCCCAGTTAAAATGATTTCAGTATTTTTTTAAATTTTCGCCTTGCATTTTTATCAAAATAGACTACTAAACCTATGCCTAAAACCATCTACGAATATCAAAACCAGGGCATGAGTCACGTATGACGACAATCGTCTGAACGGTATCGTGTCGAGATTGTCTTGCTTCATAAAAATCAAAAATTGTTTGATCGTTTGTGCGATATCGTTAATTCGATTCCAGTTTTGCTTCTTTTAACAGTAACAGTAACACGTAACAGCAACACAAATGCATAAATCAATGTTTTGACAACATCGTTTTGTCAGTATCATTTGAATGACTATCGTTTCATACGTGATTCATGCCCAGTTGCAACAAATGAGTCCATACATATGTATTTATGTAAATACATAGGTACAAAGCAGTATGCATGTGCGGAGTTTAAATAATCGGAAGTAATAATCAATTGTAGGGCATTTTCTCTTACTATGCATATGCCTAAATGTATGCAACCATTTGGCAAGCAAACACAGGGTGCTTCTAATGAAAATAAAAATTGTATGCCGAAATACACATGCTAAGCCCTTCGAAATTTTGTGCTGGGATATGCGTTACACCTTCGAAAATTTTACCCCTACCGAAACCAAAGATGTATACAAATTAAAAATGTGTAAGTACATAGACTACATAAATTTTATATAAAAAAATAATTGGTGGGTTTGGGCGATTTGTTGAAAGAAATTGTGCTTTTTTATTTAAATAATCAATACACTCTGCTAGCGCTAGCCATGCGCTTTTGGGTTCCAGAGATATTGATAGTGTAGTGCTTACTTCAGCTGAAGAGAAGGTTACTACATGTTAACGAAATCCCATACAAATATATTCCTCCCTACCAGGGGCGCACCCAGGAATATATTTTGGGAGGGGTTTATACTTCTGAAAATTCGCTTCAGATAAAATGATCATTAAAGTACATTTATGCAAGTTTTATGTACAGTATGTAATAAATAAATAAACTTTTTGAAGTTTCATAAATTGCATTTATTTACATAAAATTAGCAAAAAACTCAAACATTTGTAACCGACTTCGAAAGAGGGGTAAGTTATCAATTCGTCGGAATAGTATGCTAACGCATAACTTTGGACCACGTGTACCGATTTCAATAATTCTTTTTTTTTATCGGAAAGATGGTACCTCAAGGGTCTTTCCGTAATTTGAAATCACTTGTTTAATATAAAGTTCTATAAACACAAGATGCGCTCAACTTGCAAAAGTATTAAAAAAAATTCAAAAAAAGAGTTTTAATGTTCATTTTCCTCGATATCTGGTTTCTGGTTTTCGAATGAGATGGTGATTTTTTACGATTGCCTAATTTTTTTAATATTTCGAATACCGAGAAAATTAAATGAACTTGAATTTTTGTTATGTAGGCAATTTTGGTGGTACGAATTCGAAGTGGGCAAATTAAATCTTCGAATCCTTGTTAAGGACATATCAGTTGTAAACTCTTTTAGGCTCAGTAAGTGAGTATGCATTGCATATTTTTAGGTTTCATTCGCAGTTAAACTTTTAAGAGCTCTCAAAAAAAAAAACCAAAAATTCATATAAAATGGCGCACAAGAAATGGAATAGGAATTTTCTTCTATCAAAATTTCTTAAATCAATTTGCATCTCTCAAGAAAAAAATGCTCGTATATTTATTTCTTCAAGATAATTTACAGCAAATTGTTTCCTAACCTAATGTAGGCTAGGAGACAAAACGGGGTGTGGATAAAGTAGTTATGGGCGAGGAAAAAGCCCTTAGTCCTGATATTATGGAAGTTTTAAACGTTCCATACTTAAATTGGGCGCCACTTGTATCACCTCACGTCGAGCGCACGTTTAGTACATGCAAGACTTTTCTTTCGACTTCTAGTGCCTTTTTCTGTCTATTTCGCTATTTTATTTTGCCTTTTACAGCCTATTTCGTTATTTTATTTTGCATTTTTTATAGGTTTTTAGGTCCTAAAAATCCGAAACCGAGAAACGGATGATTTTTCAAGATGTAGAGGCGCAACAGAAAGTATTTCCCTACCTAGCGTTCAAAAATGGCATGGTTAAATATTTCAACAAACTTTACCTAAACCTAATTAACTAGTTAAAATGTCCGTTATTCGATTTTCAATCTAAAAACTATATTAAATTAGATACAATTTTAAGCATGCAAATTTGGAAAAATTACTATTTTCTGGATAATCCTAACGATAAACTCGAAAATTCGTGAAAAGGTACCAAATGGTCACTTTAGTGTGGGTAAATTTCAGGTTAGTTGTATTAGAAAACTGACTACGCCATTCGCTTTAGCGGCTTATTCTACATAAAGTTGGATATCTTTTGTTTTTTTTGCTTATGCAAGAAGAAAGGTGTCCTCAGAAGGATCTAAACCTATCGTAAAACAGCCTTTTAAATAGCGGATTTCTGAGTAGATCATTCAGTTTTTGCAACAATGAGTTTTTTCCATTTTGTTAGGTTCTTAGCATCTTATTTTCATATTATGCTGCCGGAGGGTGTATCTGAAATACTTTAGCAAAAGAAGGCATCTAATGCACATATCACATTTACATTTGTGCAAGACACAAAAAAACGAATTTTCATTAATATGTAAACAAGCAATAATTTTTCTTTAACTTCGAATTATTTATTTTTTACCAATTTGTTTATGTAAATTAAGAACCTTTTTTCTTTAAAATAGTCTGTAGCTATTTGTTTAAAAACATTTAGCACGAGAACATCTTTTTTGTCAAAATTCTACAAAACGTCAGTAGCTTAAAATTCTCGCAATCATTCACGCTAATTTGATTTCAAAGTGAAAACTAGTTTGTTTGTCAATTCCTTCTTCGTTTAAAAATTTCGTTTCGCTTACATAAAAAAATCGACACTCTGTTTAAAAAGAGTATGCTAGTTTTTTTCTCACTGCTGGGCAATTGACTCGTAAGAAACGTGTTTCGAAACTTTTTGTCGATATGAGCGAGCAACGAAAAACTTGCCCGCAATTTATAAAAAGGTACAAATACAACGTACATAAGTGATCATATTTATGCACATACATACATGCATCCATACATATGTACATATGTGCGGTCTATGAACTATGTTTGATTTCGCCACTCTTCTTACCCCCAATCACCTCTCCAGTTAAAGTTAGGAGAAGCGCATACTTCTAGATATTGGAAAAGTTTCTTGTTAATTTTTAATATCGCAGGTGGGTGTAAATAATTTATGGCATTAATTTACGTCTCGCATCCAATGCGAAGAAATGGCTGCCAAAGTGAAAACTAACACCAACTCTCCACATATCGCACGTTTAATAAAACAACGAAGTATTTCAAAATTTTAATTTTTTAGGGAAACGCAATCAAAGTTTTATCAATTCATACATTTGGTATACAAATATACAGATGAAAAGACACATATTCGCAAAGTTTGGGAAGTTTGGTTATCTGTTAGACTGAACATATTCTCCTTATCAAGCTTATTAATTGCATAATGAAATCTCCAAAAACGTAAATTTTGAGCTACATCTCTATTTTATTAAACGTGCGATATGTATGTATGTACATTAGGGTGGTCAAAAAAAGCATGTGAAAAATAAAGTTGCAATTTGGGGAAAAATACGCATATTTTTTATTTTGAAATAAAAAAATATTTAGAGGTCAGTCAAAGCGTTAAAATTTTTCTATGTATTTTATATGGTGAACAAACACTTTTCGAAGAAATGGTATAGAATTGTTGAAAATTAATATTTTTCGATCGGAGAACTCTGTTTCTCTTTAAGAGATTCCCAATCATAATATCCAATTATTATTTTAACCATTTTTTCATAGTAACTATATTTTAAAGATCCGCCAAAGCCCCCAGAAATGCCTGAAAATGTAATGGGAGGATAAAAAAAATCTTTAGTATAAAAAATTGTTAAATAAACAATTGGATATTGTCATTAGAAGTCTTCGGTAAAGACTACGAAAAGTTGTTTTTCCCCATATAAGCGACCTCTAAATATGTT